GGGGGACAAAACTATCATGGTAATTTAGTTTCTAATCTTAGCCCTAGGGGAAACAGCTTTCGGGAACAAGAGCTGACTACCCAGTCTACCAGGAAATAGAAGTTAAAAAAATATCTAGAAAGAAGTAAAACTTAGAAAGACAGAGAGAAATAATTCTGCTATGCACTTTCCATCAGGTGTATTGAGATTTACTTATAAGTTTTACTGCCATGTATGCACACTGGTCACTAATCACACGCCAATATTATAGTTATAACTGATATCCTATGTCAGAGGCGGTCTTCCAGATGGGCCTTTACAGGCCTCAGCCATGTAGCTATAGATGTTGGCTCCCAACAGGAGACCTACCTTTGCATCCTGGCCCTACCCCTTGTTGGCTGGTGACCTGAGGCAGATCCTTGTGAGCTTTGGTACTTTTCTTTCCTCCTCTGTGAGGTGGGAATCTTGATAACTCAGTAGTCACCTTTGTAGGCTGTGAGAGAATTATGTGCGATAAAGAGTCACATGCACAGTTTGTCCACATGAAGGCCCTGGGTTGATGTTACTCGGTAGATTATTGAATTGCTTGCCCTTTGACTCTCACTCAAAGGGTAAAAGATGGAATCAGCCGGACAGAATGGACAATTTGCTTCTTTCTTCTAAGTGCTTTGTTGCCTTCTTTTTTTCCCCTGAAAGTGTATATTAAGTTCCACATATTGAGGGTTATATTAGTCTTGTCCAATGAAAGTCAGGATTTGGCCGTGGTTTCCTTTGTAAGTCATAAGATACCAGTGTAAGTTTTGCCTGAGGTAATCATGATGGTGTTACTGGTGTACATTTTTGATTGCTAACTGAGCTGAGTGTTTTTGGTGGGTGATTGTCTTTACTACTTGTAACCCTGTGAGGGCAATGATATTGTCTCCATCTTACAGATAAGGAGACTGAAGCGCAGAGAGACTGTGAGTTACTTGACCAAGGCTTTGAAGCTAATAAGTGGCAGTGCTGGGATTCATCCTTGGGCAACCCGACCCCAGAACTTGTGCCTTCACTTCCTCCTGGTTGACTTATTTGTATTTGTCTTCTTGACTGTTAGGGAGAGAATATGGAAAGACTCAGCTCCCATGGTAGCTGGTGTCTGCTGACCCCAATTTTATGGCGGGTTCTTATAAATGTTAAAGATTGATGTGTATCCTCTTGTGTATTATATTGTCTGCAACTTGCTTCTCATGTTGGAGGTATGACTGCTCGGCAGCAAACACTCCAGACTTTTCTCTTTTTTGGGCAGGTCTGAACTCCATACTCTTTGCAATTAACATCGACAACAAGGATTTAAATGGGCAGAGTAAGTTTGCTCCCACTGTCTCGGACCTCTTAAAGGAGTCAACGCAAAATATGACCTCTTTGCTGAAGGAATCCACGCAAGGAGTGAGCAGCCTTTTTAGGGAGATCACAGCCTCTTCTGCAGTCTCCATCCTCATCAAGCCTGAGCAGGAGACTGATCCCCTGCCTGTCGTGTCCAAGCATGTTAGTGCCGGTGAGCACGGATGGGCACGTGAGGTGGAACCGAGGCGGGGATGGGGAGTGGGGAGGGCCAGTTAAAAGGACAGCAGAATGTGGTAGAGGCAGACACACCTCATCGACTGAAAGTCGTCCCAAGGGGAATGAAATCTGATACATTTGCATTTTTAGTTCCTGTTTGTTTTTATTTTTCTTACCCTCATTCACTGTAAAAGGGCTCCGACTGCCTTACCTAGATGTGAAGGTAACAGGGTAGAAAACAAACAGCTGAATCACAACAAGCTGAAAGGGAGGGTGTGAGTCATGGGAAGCCCATGAGGTTGGCCTTCATTCGTTTATTCCTTCATCTATTCCTTTACTTGTTCATTCATTGTGTTCTATGTGCTAGGCAGTGAGTTAAGTAAGAAAGATGGCTGGCGTTTGGCCACAGACTCCTTTGGGATGGGTAGGGGTAGATAGTTAATAACAAATTATATCAATAATCTATGTCCTTAGGATAAATGGGAAGAAAAGCAAGCATAGGGTGCCATGGGGAATGCATACCAGTGGGCTTGCCTCTGGGGGGTGGAGTGATATTTAAGTGGAGGCCTGAGGAGAGGGAGGAGTTCATCAGCTTTGTTGCTAGACTGTGGGAGGCAAAGAAAGTTGGTTTGGTTAAGGTGAATTTTGCAAAAAGTTTATAATAACCCTTGAGACTTATGGGACACTAGGATGTTGTTACAGCAAAACTGGAAATTTTGGGTTTAAGTACTTAGTGCCAGTGTTCTCAAATCTCTTAAACAAGGCAGTCATCATGGTCATTCTTTTGAAATTACTGATGATGGAAACTCAGAGTCTCTTTGGTACACAATGACTTAATGAGTCTTGTTTTCTCCTTGTCCAGCAAAGACCCCTCATGAATGACATAGGAAGCAGGACCATTGAGGGCTTTGTGTAACAGAGACTGAAATTTGTATACTCAATGGAGTATCTGATCTGTCTCACCCGTTTTTGGAACTCTGATTTCGAAGTTATCTCAGAGTTGTGGTACCCTGGTGAGGCCTCACCACATCACTTCTTGGTTTAGATTGGTTGGATTTTTTGGAATTGACTCAAAAGTGTCTCACATCCGAGTTTGATGATTAAGGTGAATGAACACATAGGCCCAGCTCAGCACCAGTCATTAAGGCAGTCTTGATTTCTGTTTCAGTTAACCTTTGCTGTGTCACAAACAACTAAAAACTACCACAGATGGGTTGGCATGATGGCCCTTCTGTTGGTTTCCCTTGAGCTCACTTGGGGCTGCAGTCATCTGGTGGCTGAGTTGGAAGATCCAAGATGGCCCCACTTATGTGTCTGGAGTTGGTGCTGGACAGCTTACTTATACCCTTGGCCTGTCATTCTCCAGTAAACTGGACTGGCTTCTTTGTATAGTGGTGTCAGGACAGCAGTCCAAGAGAAGGAAGTCAGGAGCTGTAAGATTTCTTGATGTCGAGGCACTGGAACTCATGCTGTTATTTCTGCCACATTCTACTGGTAAAACCAAGGTGTGGTGGAGTGAGTATGTAGTCCTAGCTACTTGGGAGGCTCAGATGGGAGAATCGCTTAGCCCAGGAGTTTGAGGCTGCAGTAAGTTATGATTGCATCACGGCACTCCAGCCTGGGCAATAGAGTGTGAGACCCCCCAATCACTAAAACAAAACAAAACAAAACAAAACAAAACAAACGGAGCACTAAGCCAACCAGATTCAAAGGGTACAGAAATAGTCACACCATTTCTCAAAGGGAGGAACAGCCAAAGTCCCATTGCAAAGGGCATCAGACAGGGATGGGAGAATTTCATGTCTCTTAAACAATTAATTTCAACCCTCACATTGGTGTTCCTGGTCTCATCTGCCAGCCATGAGAATATTTTCCAAAGTGAAGCAATGAAAATTATTTCAGTAGTGGAACATCCTTTGAACCAAAGTGACTGCTTAGAAGGATCAATTTTAACACATGCTCTGTGGTGTGTTTGTTTAAATCAGAGGTGGAGAGACCTACGTCCATGTCACTCAGTCTTCTGTAGGCAGTTTTTTGTCAAGGGTTTAACCAGAAAAATCTACATTTATTTTACAATGTACTTCCCAGTAGAATATGATTTTCCATAATCTAGAGTTGAGTTGACTTAATTATCCCCTTGTCTTATGCCATTTCTTTTCTTTTCTTTTCTTTTTTTTGCTAGATACCAAATGTAAAAAGGAACGAAAGAAGAAAAAGAAGGTAACCAACATTATCTCCTTCGATGATGAGGAAGATGAGCAAAACTGTGGGGACGTTTTAAAAAAGATACCTGGGGCAGGGGAGAGCTCGGAAGAGAACTCTGACCCCTCCTCTGTCAATATTATGCCGGCCTTCGAAAGCCCCTTTGGGCCAAATTCCAATGGAAGTCAGAGCAGCAACTCATGGAAAATTGATTCTCTGTCACTGAATGGGGAGTTTGGGTACCAGAAGCTTGATGTGAAAAGCATCGATGATGAAGATGTGGATGAGAACGAAGATGATGTGTATGGGAGCTCAGCGGGAAGGAAGCGCGTAGGCCACTCAGAGTTGCCCGAGAAGTGAGTTCTACTCCGGTGTTTAATGAGCCTGTTACACTAACTCTTTTCTCTTTCTACAGTATTAGGCGGTATAAGAGTGCAAGTTTCATGTTTGTTCAGGACATTATTCATCCTTCAGGTCTTGATTTAGGAGGAAGAAGTGTTGCTTGTCGTTCTCCTGAGAACTAAGAGAGGGGAAGGGAGTATATTTGAAGGTACTTATTACAAAGTTAACATTGAGATGTGTCTTGAAATTCCTTTTTTTGAGGGGGAGGGGTTGAAGTCTCATTCTGCTGCCCAGGCTGGAGTGCAGTGGCATCTCACGGCCACCTCAGCCTCGACCTGCTGGGCTCAGGTGATCCTTCTGCCTCAGCCTTCCAAGTAGCTGGAACTATAGACACATGGCACTACGCCTGGCTCATTTTTTGATTTACTTTAGAGATGAGGTCTCGCCAAGTTGCTGAGGCTGGTCTTGAACCCATGGGTTCAGGCAATCCTCTCACCTAAGCCTCCCAAAGTGCTGTGATTATAGGCATGAGCCACCACGCCCAGCCAGAAATTCTTGCTCTGTGTCTATGTCTTTTGTTTTTGTTGACTGGGTTTTTCTCCCCTCTCCAACTTGATACTACCCTAAGAAGCTAGGGAGAAAGGCAGAGTTAGTCTAGAGGATAGCTGACATTTGTGATATGTCCGGTGCTGCCTTTACCTTATTGTAATACAGCAGCTCTGTGAGGTTAAGGGCGTCACCCGTTTTACAGCTGAAACAACAGGATTCCATAGGGAGACGAGATTTGTCCAAGCCATTTGCAAAGCTGGGATTTGAATATGCTGTGTGCTAAAGCTTATATCATCACATATTTTCCATGTTTCTATGTAATTATGAATATCGATTAGTTGATGAGATAGCTGATTTTGTGTGTCAACTTGATGGGGCCATAGTGTGCTCAGATTAAACATTATTTCTGGATGTGTCTGTGAGGCTGTTTCTGAATGAGGTTAGCATTTGAATCCATGGAGTCAATAAAGTGGATTGCTATCCCCACTGTGGGTGGGCATCATGCAAGCTGTCAGGACTGAATGGAACAAAAACTGTAGGAAAGGAGGAATTGTTCCCCTTCTGCCTGCTGCCTGGAGCTGGGATGTGGGTCTTCTCCTGCCCTTGAACTAGGTTTGACACCATCTATGCTCCTGGTTCTTGGGCCTCAGACTTGGACTGAACGGCACCACTAGCATTCCTGGGTCTCCAACATGCAGATGGCAGTAGGTGGACTCTTGGTTTCCATAGTCATGTGGACCAATTCCTCATTATAAATCCATATCTGTATATCTGTCTATCTCTATACACACACCTGTTGGTTCTGTTTCTCTGTAGAACTCTGACGAATACAGTTGCTATTCAGTTAGATCAATGTCATGACTTACTAATGGTTCTCTCATTGTTTTTTTTTTTTTTTTTTTTTTGAGTTGGGGTCTCTATTGCCCAGGCTGGAGTGCAGTGGCACAATCATGGCTCACTGCATCCTCAATCTAAGGTGATCCTTTCACCTCAGCCTCCTGAGTAGCTGGGACTACAGGCATGTGGCACCATGCCTGGCTAATTATTTGATTTTTTTTGTAGAGATAAGGTCTCGCTATGTTGTCTCAGCTTCTCTAGAACTCCTGGGCTCAGGCAGTCCTCTGGTCTCCTTGGCCTCCCAAAGTGCTGGGATTACAGGTGTAAGCCACCGTGCCTGACCCTCCCATTACTGAGTATTCAAGTTGTTTTTTGTTTTTGCTTTTTATTATCAGCTGTTCTGAAATGGACATTTTCATGCACAAGGCTTTTTGCTACTACTGAATTATTTGTTAGGATAGCTTTTCAGCAGCATAGAATTGTTCTTGCTTGTAGAGTATGAATGTTTTTGTACCTGGCATCCAAGTCTTATTAGTTCGGGTTCTCCAGAGAAACAGACCAATGAGGTGTGTGTGTGTGTGTGTGTGTGTGTGTGTGTGTGTGTGTGTGTGTGTGTATGTGTATATATGGAGGTGTGTATCTTCTCTCTCTTGCTCTATCTCTCTCTCTACCTCCATCTCTGTCTCTGTTCTGCCTGTCTTTCTCTTTCTTGACTTATTTTAAGGGCTTGGCTCATGTGACTGTGAAATCTGCAAGCTAGGCCTGCAAACTGGAGGCCAAGAAAGAGTTGTGGTTCTCCAAAGGCAGTCCAAATACTTTTTTCTTCCTTGGAGGAGGTCAGTTCTTTTCCTGTTGAGGTCTTCCGTTGCTTGGATGGGGTCCACTCACATTATGCAGGGTGTAATCCGCTTTACTCAAAGTCTAGTGATTTAAGTGTTAATCTCACCTAAAAACGCCCTCACAGAAACATCCAGGATAATGTTTGACTGATATATATGGGTACCGTGGCCTAGCCAAATGGACACATACAATTAACCATCATAGCTGCCTTTAATTCTGGGCCTTAATCTGAGCCTTTTGGGAAATACTATCCTATGGCTCTGTAGGCGAGAATGCATCTCTGAGTTACTTCTCTCCATGGGTTTTTTGGCCTCCAACAGTCATTCCTCTTCCTTCCCTATTGGTGCCACTGAGTGGAGCCCAGAGGGTGAGACCAGAGTTTGAGCCAAGGTAACTACCAGCATTGTGATGTGTAAAAGCACAAAACAGTGCAGAGTGATCTCCATAGGGGCCTGGGCTGTCTGAGGCCATTGGGCCTTCTGTGGACAACCTCCTCCTGGCAAAAGGGGAGTCTTCACTGAACATTGTCCAGAGCAGCCTGGGGAAGGAGCATAGGCGGAATGAGGTGGTCTACCAAGTAATGCTTTCATTTTGGCTCATGGGGGAGGTCTGGGAGGCTGGTGCACAGCAGGTGTGTTAGGGGTATGTGGCCAGGCCAGGAGATACTCTTGGGCATCACAGCAGCCTCTGGCAAAGGCCAGTCTCCAGTTGTCTTTAAGGTGATCTGTTCAAGCCGGGCTCCATGGCTCAGCCTGTAATCCCGTGCTTTGGGAGGTTGAGGTGAGTGGATTGCCTGAGCCCGCAGGTTTGAGACCCGCCTGGGCAACTTGGTGAGACCTCATCTCTACAGTAAATCAAAAAAATTAGCCGGGCGTGGTAGTGCACGCCTGTAATTCCAGCCTGCACTTGGAACTTGGAAGGCTGAGGTGGAAGGATTTCCAGAGCCCAGCAGATTGAGGCTGCAGTGGCTGGAAGCAGCTTTTTTTCCCAAAGGCGTGGTATCTTTATGATAGGAGTTTTTCTATTACTTAATGTGTACTCTATGACACCAGTAGGGAAGTAGGGGGAAAGTGCAATAACTACAGATATGAAAAAATGTTACATTTCACTAGCAGCTAAGCAAATCCAAAGTGAAACAAGACACCGTATTCTACCCACTGTATTTGCCCAGAGCCTGGGTTCCTGCCTTGGTGGTAGGGGGTGGGGCTTGCTCTCAGTGGGTCCTCAGGTCCAGGCACATAGTAGGTACTCATTCGCTGTCTGTGGGATGATTGAGGTGGTAAGGTTGGTGCACAGGGGCTGTCCTCACAGACAGCCGGCAGCTGTTGCTAGCCCCAGGGGTGGGGGGGCAGGTGGGGAGAAAGCAGTTTGACAAAATGCCTGGAGCCTTGAGAATGTTTATTCCACTTAAGTTAGCTATTCCTCCTCTGAGAAACTGCCTTGAGGACACACCCTAGACTCAGGGGAAAGCTGCTGCTTCTAGATATCAGAGTCCTTATTCAGAGAAGCAAAACGCTGGAGCTGACCTAAATGTGCAACCGCAGGGGGCCGTGAGCAGTGGAATAATTTGTAGTTTAATCCTTAACATTCTAACATTATGATCTTAGTATCTCAAATGAGGTTTAATATTGAATAGAATTAATATTGAATAGAAACAACAAGATAGAAAATTCTACATTTAGTTTTATGACAAATGTGTAAAGAAAAGTATGCATAGCAAGGTGTTTTGGGTAATGTGGCTATGGGTGTTCTGGTTTTCTTTCTCTGCGGCATTTTCTTTCTTTCTTTTTTTTTTGAGTCTCACTGTCGCCCAGGCTGGAGAGCAGTGGCACACTCATGGCCACCACAGCCTCCACCTGCTGGGCTCAGGTGATCCTTCCACTTCAACCTTCTAAGTAGCTGGAACTACAGACATGTGTCACCACTCTCAGTTGATTTTTTGATTTATTGTAGTGATGGGGTCTTGCCAAGTTGCCCAGGCTAGTCTCGAACCCCTAGGCTTAGGCAGTCCTCTTGCCTCTGCCTCCCAAAGTGCTGGGATGACAAGCATGAGCCACTGCGTCCAGTCCTTCTGTGGCATTTTCTAAATTTTGATATGTGTCTTAATTTTCTTATAGAAAATCACTACTTGTGACTGTGTTTCTAAGCCAGTCATGGTGCCATATGCCAAGGCACCATCTGCCCCAGGAGTACCTCTGGAGCCTACTTTTTCTTGGATTCTGAACCTCATCTCGTCAGGCCTGGCTTCACCTAGTATTCACATATATTGCTGAGAAAGGGCAAGAATTGTCTTAGAAACAAGCAGGACATCCCACTTGCCCAGATCCAATGGTGTGGTCAAGGAAAGGCTTGGCGTCTTTAGCCGCCTTCTCCTGAAAGAGTGCCCCTGACCACCTCTGGGTGTGTCTGTTCCTTGGTACCAGCTGCTGGATTGGAGCCTTGGGAGGGCGCATCTGAAAACATTCCAGAGACACTGCCAAGTTCACCTGTTACCCTGTGAGGACTCAGGCAGGGGCAGGAGCGGCAGTTATTCTGCACCCATTCACCTCCTCCCTCTCCACCTCTCCACCCCCGCCTGTCAGCCTCCCAGTGTTGCCTGTAGGACTGAATGATACATTCGATAAAGTTCCATTAGGCTTACTTCCCTTCTGTGTTCCTTGCTCTGTGCCAAAAGTTTGACCAAAAATTAGGGCTGAAAGGAGACCTTCTACCTGACCAACCTCTGAAAGAGGACTTGGCAATCACTGCCAAATTTGCCCCTGAGCTGTGAATGCTTGTTATATTTTTATTTTAATCAATTCATTAATTGATTTTTGTTTGTTTTGAGTCAGGGTCTCACTCTGTTACCCAGGCCGGAGTGTAGTAACACAATGGCAGCTCACTGAAGCTTCGACCTCCTGGGGTCAGGCAATTCTTCTGCCTTAGCCTCTTGAGTAGCTGGGACTACAGGCGTGTGCTGCCACGCCTGGCTAATTATTTATTTTTTGTAGCAATGAGGTCTCACTATGTTGTCCAGGTCAGTCTCAAACTCTTGGGCTCAAGCAGTCTTGATATGTTGCCCAAGCTGGTCTTGAACTCCTAGTCTCAAGCAATCCTCCAGCCTCAGTCTTCTAAATGCTGGGATTACAGACGTGAGAGCCACTGCACCCAGCCTATTGTTACATTTTTAAAGAGTTGTAAAGAGACACCAATAAAGAAGAGTATGCCACAAAGCCTAAATGTTTACTATCTGGTCTTCTGCAGTAAACATTTGTTGACCCATGCTCTGAAATAAAGACAAACTGTAAGTAATGTCACCTGGTATGCAGGACCTGGAGACCCATTGTCATTGGATTCAGAAGACCTGGGCTGCAATCCCACATTGGTTCTGTTGCTTGTGGCTGATGACCTTGGACAAGTCACATAATCTTTTTGAGGTTTCTTTTCCTCTCTCTCTCTTCTCCCATTCCTTTCCCTCCTCTCCCCTCGTCCCTTCTCCCATTAAGTAGGTATGATTGTCTGCTTTGGTCTTTATCTACTGAGTTCCAAAGTGATTTTTACCAACTTTAAAGTTCAGTCGGGCTTCCACATCTGAGTTTTGCGTTTGTGGATTCAACCAAGGGTGGATCAAAAACATTAAAAAAAAAAAAACAATAAAAATAAACAGTACACCAATAAAAATAACGCAGATAAAAATACAGTATGGCAACTATTTGCCTTGCGTTTACATGGTATTGTTATTATAAGTAACCTGGTGTTTAAAGTACATGCATGGGAGGATGTGCTTACACAGACTCGACACCGTTTTAGATCAGGGACTTGAGCATCCTCGGATTTGCGGTCCTGGAGCCAATCCCCGCAGATACCGAGGGACAGGGGTATTGCTAAACACATTCTGGTGTTTCCATGTGTTTCTTCGTAGCCCAGTGTGGAACACTGCTGTGGGTAGATCCTCTTAAACTCCAGGAACCAGCCTGGCGTCACAAGAACTTGTGACACATGTTAATTGCACATGTTAATTTTGCGCTTGTGCCTGGCTAATACTTGAGCTGACCCCTTGCTTGAAAGGGACCCCTGATGTGACCGGGTCTGTATCTGTCCTTTTGGCCACGAGGATCTGAGAAACAGCGAGGCGAAGTGGCACACCCAAGCCCACCTCCTGCTTCATTGTAGCATGCACTGTTCCCTCCCCCTCCACCCCTTTTGTCCCTCTTCCTCACAAGGGGCTTGTGCTTCCTCCAACCCTCTCCTCCAACCTCCCTTCAAGGCAACCTTGCACGACTCTCCTGACCAGCTCCACGCATCTGAGCTGCCGTTTTACAGCTTCTTGCAGCATTAACTGACTCATGTCCATGCCCCCACCAGACCATAAGTGCCTCGAGGGCAGGATCAACACTGTTTGCTGGCTGTAGTGAGCTCAGTGCCTGGCATGTAGTAGGTGCTCAGCATACACTGGCCGAAAGAATGAACACAAGAGGTCTGGATCTGGTCTACACGCTCCCAACACCCAGCCCACACCTCCACTGTGCTCGTCCCACGATGGCCCAGTTGGTTCCCAAGAAGGTGACTGGGGATGCCCAGTGAATGCCTGTGGTGAGTCACATGTCCCACAGGCTCTTGGCCCTGTCCCACAGGTGTATTCTCTCGCCATAGGCCACCGGACGGGAACCCCTGCCTCTCCCAGATGCACGGCTGGGCCCCGCTGCAGGTGCTGCACGGCGACTCTGACATGCTCTTCCCTGTCAGCGGTGTGGGCTCCTACAGCCCCACAGGTGGGTATTTCCTGATGACTCCTTTCCTCCAATAAGCGCTTTGGCTTTGAGAACCTGCAGGAGTATCTGAATCACCTGAGCAGGTAGGGATGGGGCCAGGGGGCATGGACTCAGGATGGAGTAGGGCTTGTGGAGACTCAGAAGTGAGAGAGGGCTTGGCTTCTCATGCCTGGATACCTTGTGCTCTTGGAGGAGTGAGTGCTGGGCAGAGCTGGCGGGCAAGCGTCCAGGGAGCCCCCAGGCCTGATTTGTTTGTGCTCAGTAGTAGCTTGTTGAAAAGTACTAAATTTGTGACCATTGTTTTGTCTCTCAGGAGTTAGGGGAGGGTAACTGAACTCCTGTCTGTAAAGGCCCTGACACCCTGGACAGAAGCGTTTGGGGATCAGGAGGGGGCTTGTTTAAAACCCGCCTTTGGTACGGGTAAGCGCTTTCAAATCCTTCCATGTGGTTGAGCGCACTTGTGTGTGTTTTATTATTGTTTTCTTTAGCTAGAGCAGGTCATGGGAGGATGTGCTTGAGTCCAGCTGGCCCCTGGAATGGGTGTGCAGTGAAACTGGTACAGTACCTGGCACAGAGAATGCTCTGTTGCTGTAACTGCCCCCGGAGTCTAGGTCGGAAAGGCCTTGGCCCAACCGACATAGGTGCCTTTGTGGTTTCCTAGGGGACAAACGCAGCTTTTCTGGGCCCAGATAGGAAGCTGTGACTGGGTCCAGCATTTGCCTGGGAAACTGCTGAAATTCTGGACCAGATGATAGACTTGCCACTTGTTGGGAAACAGAAACCTGCTCAAGCCCAGAGTCAGGGTGGGGACATTCACTGGCAGCAGGACAAGTGGAGTCAGTCGCAGTCCTGACTCTGGGAAGTTGTGTGAGCCTGAGCACGTTGCTGACCTTAGTGCTAGCATTCCCGACTGCAAAATGAGGCGAGTGTGAGCACATGGCTACATGCTGCCTGTCAGCCTCAGTGTCCTCATCTGGAAATTGGGGAACAGTGATGATGAGAGCCGGCGCTTGCGAAGAAGCCCTGGAAGCAAGTCCTGTGCTGTGACGCGACTGACCCCATGAACTCATCGCTCTTCACCGCAGCCCTAAGGAGGGTGCTGTCCTGTCACCTCCCTCACAGGCTTGTAGTGAAGACTCTGAGTCAGTGGGTGAGATGCCAGGCCTGTGAAAGCTTCTAGCGGTTATGCAGTGACACAGGACAACTTGTCCCTGACCTGGGAGCTGGGGTATTGTCATGAAGGGGTTCTCGTCATTGCGAGGTGCTGCTATCTTCCCATGTGCCTCTCCCTACTTTCTGCTGGAGGTCAGCCCCGCTCCTCTCTCTCCTGTCTGTTGTGGCCTTCTGTACCCTCACGCCCTCCTCACTGAGCCTGTGCTTGGCTGCAGTGCCAGCACTGGGGCCTCTTCCATGTGACCTTCCACACCAGCCAGAATTTCTTACTGAGTCTCCATTGAGGTCCCGAAAAGTGGCAGTCTGGTGGGCTCAGCACATGTCTGCAGGCCAGACCACAGAAGGTCTGCATCCCCAGAGATGGCTGGGAGTACAGTCACCTTGCCATGGCCTGTCAGCTGCAGTGAAGATGAAGCAAAGTGTCTGAGTAGGGGAAGGGGCTGGGAGTGAGCAGGTAGCCCCGGAGTATGTCTGGACCATGGGGAGTTTTGAACTTTCATTCACAGCTTCCAGCTGACAATTTGGTTCCCTGTCGACCTTGCCTTGGTCCCCACCAAGGGCCCTCATTGTTTGGTTCATGAATGATTGCTGGGCTAAAAGGTGCATACAGCAGGCATCTGATTTATTTCAGTGGCTCCTTTGTTTCCCAGCTGGGCTCCCCTGAACCCTCAGACCTATGGGCAGTAGATGGTGGCAGCTGGGGCGTTGCTGGTTCAAGTACATTGGGGTTTGGCTTCATAGAGCCCCATGTTCCTCTTCCCCCTGCGGGCTTTCTGGAGGCATATGTCTTGGGGACAGTACTGCCCTGCCAGCCTCGAGGGTCCTCTTGAGAGGGCACACATCTTGTGGTCCCACACCTGGCTCTCAGACTGAGATGCTTGTCCCTACTGACAGTGCCCAAGCTCCGGCTGACCAGAGTCATGCTCACGGCATGACTTGACAGTGTGTCGCCAGTGTTTCCACTTACTCCAGCTGCCGAGCTTGTGGCTGGGGCAGTCTGGCTCTCTCTGGCAGAGACTGCCTGGGGAGGATCTCAGCCTGCGTGATGATGCTGGAATCAGGTCTCAGGGACTTGGGACCTGATGGAGACCAGGCTGCATCAAGTCCCTCTGGCCCAATGCCCCGTTTCCACGGGAGACCAGGGCCAGGGAGGTGCTGGGGCTCGGCCTCCTGCTAGGTGCCCTCCACTGCTGTTCCTCTCTGAGAATCCTTGCTTTTGCTCCATTCCTGCCTCATGTCCCTTCTGATGTACATTCTAACATCTCCCTCATTTTGGCTGAGCAATCGCTTTGTCCTTTAATGATGACTTCCCACCTAGGGGGCTCCTCACCTAAGGAGATGTCTCTGTCACCTTTGAAGTTGGTACCTTCCCAGTCCCTGCTGCTGGGGTAGTTGGAGGAAGTGGTGGGAGGGAGGTTGATGGTGGCAGGGGGAGTGGGCAAGGAAGAGGCGCAGGGCTGAGAGGGGTGGGTGCTTTGCTGCTAAGTCTTGGGAGGGAGCAAGAGGCAGAGAACCCTGGAACCTTGGAGGAGGCAGCCTGGAGGAGGCAGCTTTAGACCTGCGTTTCTAGGGTTAGGGAGCGCTTCAGAGAAGGAAGGAGACCCCAGACAACAGGAGGAGAATTAGACATGCCTTATGATTGTTGGGGTCCTGTCATCTACAAGTGAGCAGGGCAGATTGGCCTGTGGCTCTCGAAGCAGCAGGGGAGGAAGGTTGCCAGGGCTCCTCTCGTGTGGGAAGGGTGAGTTAAGGCGAAAAGCAATCACTGCTCTCTTTCCAGAAGCTGTGCTTGCCTGTCTTGTGTTCATTGTTGGGTCAGGGCATTTCTGAGGCTCTTTGGGTTCATTGAAAGCAAGGCTTGACACCCTTCGTTTCCCAGCAAGTTGGCAGTTCTTCACCTCCCTCATGCTGACACTGGGTCTGTGGGGTTGTTTGCTGAGGCTGAACTGTCTGTCGTAGTGCTGCCATGATCTGATGTGGCTGATTTTAGCGGCAGTTTATGGTTTTGTTTTGTTTTTTTTTTGGTAGGTTCAAAAACCTTTTTATTTATTATTATGCAAGTACCTTTGAAAAGTTAATTGTACAAGTCATTGCATGAAAAATGAGCTCAGGCAGCCCCCTGCTGGCCCTGGCCTGAGAAATGTACATATTTACATGGGCCCTTGGAAAGGAGGAACCCGTCCGCCTTAGAAGTGGTGGGAGACGGGGCATGGTGTGCGGTCGCCAGATTCACACAGTGGCAGGCAAGACAAGCTGTGTTGAAGGCACTCGGTGACGTGTATGATTTACACCCGGGCCTGGCTGGGCCTAGCAGAACACTATGCTGGCAGGTCCCGGGGGAGGTAGGACCCCAGCACATGGCTGCTGGGCTCAGGCCAGATGTCAAGTATTGCTTTGGGGAATGGATTGGGGTCCTCCTCAGTGATGGGACAAGCCCGGAGGGACCTCCTACCCAGACAGGCGGCTGAAGGAGTAGGGGCTCACTGGCCCACCCTACATCTGCGTCCACACGTGATGCCCTATGTGTTGGGCTCCTGAGCACAGGGTGGTGCTCCTGGCTCTGACACAGTGCGCCTTGCTGGCGTGTGTCCTCCGTGTGGCCATGCCCAGGGCCCGGCCTGGTGCCTTGGCCATGCTGGTCAGTCCACCTTCTTCGTCTTGCCCATAACGATCTCCTCGAAGACTGGCATTACGGCCTCGTCTTCCTGGACCTCCTCAAACACCACCCCACAGTCAAACTCGTCGTTGACCTACTTGAAGTAGTATCTGTAACTGCCCTTCTTGGTCAGCAGCTCCTTGAACTGGCCCAGGGTGACCGCGCGGCCCCTCGCCAGGGTCTGGTAGGGGATGGGCTCCCAACAGAAGTGGCAGGCCACCACGATGCTGTCGCATGCCTGGGTGCTCCCCCCGCCCGCCTTCCGCTGCGACTTTGACATCTGTCTGGAGGGCAGCCGGCTGGCTCACTTCTCCTCCTCCTCCAGACATTGGGAGCCTCCTCCAGCTGGGTCAAGGGGTTGGGGGCTGGGTGAGGTGGCATTGTGGGGTCTTGGATGAAGAGGTGGGAGGGCTGCACGGAGGTTCGGAGCTGAGTGCTGGCCCAGGGGTGCACAGCCCCAGGGGTGCACAGCCCCAGGGCGCTCAAAGGACAAGGGTCTTGATCTCTCAAGGGGCTGCAGCTTCTTTGTGCCAGAAGACCCGTGGCCAGCCCTCCAGTGCCTGTATGATTGTTGGGGTCCCCCTCTCGCCCTCAGTGGTCCACTGCGTGATCTTCTGGCTCTTCTCCGTGTCCTCTGAAGGGCCTGGCATCTCAGCACTGACACTTCTCCTCGACTCAGTCTTCTTGGCGTTTTTCTTGGAGGGCACACCCACTTTCCCACTGCGGGCCAGGCCATCACTGGCAGTAGGGGCAGCACTCACACTCTCTGAGTAGCTGCGGGGCTTTGCCCCGTGACCATGTGGCTCTGAACCCCAAGCAAAACTTCCGGGGGCCCTGCGGGTGGCCTCAGACTCCTGTTCCTTGGGCCTGGCTGTGCTGTGATAGACGTGGTGGTGGATATGCCGGTGGTGGTGCAGGCCGACTGCATCCAGCTTCGCTGCTGAGCAGTTTGTTTTGAAGGTCATGGTATTGCAGTGGCTGGCAAGACACTGCGTTGTGTGGTTCCCAGCCCACTTACGGTCGTGTGCCGCTTGAGGGCCCATGGTTTTCTTTATCCCATCGTCCCATCTTTCTGCCCTGAGACAGGCATCGTGCTAGGCTCGGGGGACCCACAAGTGAATCCTGCCTGGAGTTCTGCACGCACGGAGGCGTGGTCATTCCAGCGACCAATATAGTGGAGAATGCAGCGGATGGGCCTGGTGTACACTAGCCGCTCTCACCTCCTGTCCTAACGCACCCTGTCTCCTGCCTGGGCTGTTGCAAAACAGCTTTGCAACACACTGTCTGCTTCTACCCTTGTCCTGGCCATTTGTTTAGCTGACAGGGTGGTTTCTTAGAATACAAACCAGACTGCATCATTCCCTTGCTCCAAACCCTTCCACTGCTCTTAGGATCAACTTCAGAATCTTCCCTGTGGCCACACCAGGGTTCAGCTGCTTCTGCAGTCTCGACTCCTCCCATTTCCTTTTTGCCTGGTGTCCCTGCCAGTCACTCCAGCAGCTTTCACTTTCTTTCCCAAGACTCGCCCTGTCTTGGGCCTACAGGCTGAGCCATCGAGCCCGGCTGATCAGAATCTTGAACCCAGGCAGTCAGAGCCTGCCCCCTTAGGTGAGCCCCAATAGTAAGTGGCAAGGAAGGGGAAGCAGAAAAGTAGACACTTATTAATTTCCCCTTCGAACTTCTTGAGACTTAGGAGTGAGTGGAATAGGTTGGTGGGAATAGTAGGGTGGAAGAAAAGGCTAAAACCTTGCTCCTGGTAAGTTTTTCTTATATTTAACCCCTCGAGAGCTGGGGAGTCTCGACATGACTCAACCGGCATAAATGAAAGAAGTGGCGCTGGGTTTGGTGGCTCAGCCTATCATCCCACGCCTTTGGGAGGCTGAGGTGAGTGGATTGCCTGAGTCCGCAGGTTCGAGACCCGCCTGGGCAGCGAGACCTCATCTCTACAATAAATAAAAAAAATCAGCCGGGTGTGGTAGCGCATGCCTGTAATTCCGGCTACTCGGAAGGCTGAGGCGGAAGGATTGCTGGAGCCCAGCAGGCGAGGCTGCGGTGGCCGGGAGTGGCCACTGCACTCCAGTCTGGGCAACCAAGTGAGACTCCAACTCAAAAAAAGTTAAAAAAAAAAAAAAAAAAAAAGAAGTGGCATAGAGAATGGGTTAGGGAAACAACGTCCCTGTCCCTGACACTGAGCTGGTTCCACAGTGGGCATTGACAAACAAGAAGTTTCTTAAAGGAGCAGGGTTCTCCTGGGTGATATTGGCCCTAATGTCACCTTCCAGCCTGAGGCTCATGAATCTGCACTTTTTCCTGGAAGGAGGCTTGAGCAGCAGCTGATGCATTTTTGAAAACTGTACCTGTCTCATGCCTATTCTAGAGACTATTTATGATCTCACTACTTGTGAATGCCTTGCCCAAATACCGCTCATTTAATGCAGGCTAAAGTGGATTTTTTAGAATGCAGCAGACATTGTCAGTGATTAGACTATGCTGCCCTCTAGTGTCTGACTCAAACTACTATAGGCAGAAGCAGTTTAGTCTAAGAGAAAGCGGAATGCTTATTCCCTGATTCTGAGGTTGGTTTTGAATATGGACTCCAGGCATAGTTCCAAGTGACTCAAGGTCAAAAAGGCCGCAAGTTAAGGGGCAGTATGGGACTTTCTGTTGGTGACTGATGCCAAGTCTGAGATGATCTCTGAAAAGATGAAGTGGGTAGGAGATTAAAATCCAGTGTGCAGCTGAGATGGGACAGAGTTTCTAAGTCAGCTGATTTTGTAGATGAGGCAATGTCTGCATTGTGTCCTTGCCTCACAGAAAAAATGGAATGAAAGCCAAAACTGACCTTATCTCTGCGATTGCTCTCTGTGCTCAGATGCCCCCCTTGGAAGCCTGGAGAACGGGACGGGACCAGAAGACCACGTTCTCCCAGATCCTGGACTCCGGTACAGGTTCATGTCAGGAAATGAAGCTGCCTTTGGGGTGGAAGTGTCCTCTTCACAACTGTGCATTTCGTTCCTCTTTTAGAGATAGGAGGGCAACTGGTAGGATCAGGGGGCAAGACCTTGCTTCACATTTACATTTGGATTTAAGCTTTCTGTCACGGAATGTACAGCTGCCAAGGGTCTGAGACTCATCTCCCAGAGTCAGTGGTTGGCCACCTCATTTGCATACCATCTTTACTTTTGACACTTTGGGTTCATACCGGCCATACCTGAGTACCTCCTCTGCTGTTGCTTTCTTTCCTTTTTTTTTGAGTTGGAATCTCACTCTGTCGCCCAGGCTGGAGTGCAGTGGCACGCTCACGGGTACCGCAGCCTCGACCTGCTGGGCTCAGGTGATCCTTCCGCCTCAGCCTTCCAAGTAGCTGGAACTATAGGCACATACCACCACGCCTAGCTAATTTTTTTTTTTTTGAGTTGGAGTCTTACTCTGTTGCCTAGGCTGGAGTGCAGTGGCACACTCACGTCCACTCCAGCATCTACCTGCTGGGCTCCAGAGATCCTTCCGCCTCAGCCTTCCACATAACTGGAACTACAGGTGTGCGCTACCATGCCTGGCTAATTTTTGATTTATTGTTGAGACGAGGTCTCGCCAAGTTGCCCGGCCTGGTCTCGAAGCTGCGGGCTCAGGCAACCCTTTCACCTCAGCCTCCCAAAGTGCTGGGATTACGGGCATTAGCCACTGCACCCAGCTGTTGCTTTCTTAATTTAAATATTTGCTAACATTTGATGCTGATATTTAACAATACTAGTGTTATATAATGTATTTAAGTCACATAGGTATTATATAATATTTGTGAAGTGCTCAGCAGGCTGTCTGGCATGAATTAAGCACCATATAGGTTTCATTTTTCTATTTCCAAATAAAAATTCCTCAAGGGAAAACCAAGTTTCCTAAAACCGTGGGATGTTTATGGCAGAGCCAGGATGGACACCAAGGGCTCTCTGTTGCTGCCGCCATCCTTGTTACTCTTACTGGTTTTTTTCTTCCTCCCGCCTTATGGTTTTAATTTTGGGACCCAGGTATCATCACATCTGTATTTTGAACAGAGTGAAGCTCCAGGGTGGGACTTTCCAAACCATGCTGGGTGTCTTGGTCTCTCCTGGAATGGACAGGGGTTCTGCTCTCTGAACATCACAGTAACTGTAGGAGGTTTGTACCAGTTAGTAAAATGTCAGAAAGGATTGGTGTTGCCAGACCCTTCCAGGGCTCTGAGTCCTTTTTTGTTGTTTTTTCTTTCTTTCTTTATCTTTTTTTAAAAGAAAATTTGGAAAATGCATCAGTGAATGAAAAATATTACTTTTAACCCCCAACTCCATTGTTGATGTTTTTGTGCTTTTCCTTCTAATCATAGTATGTGTGTATGTGTACCATATGATGGCTCTGCTGTTTTCATGAAAAAGTATATATATTTTCTTTGAGCTGGAGTCTCACTCTGTCACCCAGGCTGGAGTGCAGTTGCATGCACATGACTACCATGCCTTGACCTTCTGGGCTCAGGTGATCCTTTTGCCTTAGTCTACCAAGTAGCTGGGACTACAGGCATATGCCACCATGCTCAGCTATGTGATTTATTGATTGATTTATTGTAGAGACAAGGTCTCGCTAAGTTGCCCAGGCTGGTCTTTTTTTTTTTAATCAATATTTTTTATTTTGATATTGTGGGGTACAGTTAAGGGTTTTTTGTTTTTGTTTTTGTTTTTAAGTTGGAGTCTCATTCTGTCACCCAGGCTGGAGTGTACTGACAAACTCACTGTCACTGCAGCCTCAACCTGCTGGGCTCAGGTGATCCTTCTGCCTCAGCCTTCCAAGTAGCCGCAACTACAGGTGTGTATCACCACACCTGGCTACTATTTGATTTATTGTAGAGACAAGGTCTTGTCAAGTTGGTCAGGCTGGTCTTGAACCCCTGAGCTCAGGCAATCCTCTTGCCTCCACCTCCCAAAGAACTGGTATTACAGGGGTGAGCCACCACACCTGATTGTGAGATAAAGTATTATTTTTTCATGTTGCAAATTCTTTGTAAATACAACCAGTGCTCATTATTTGCCATGGTTATGTTCTATTAAGGCATGGTGAGGACTGAACCAGTGCTCCCAGGGGAAATACAGGGTTAGCTTGCTTTGAGTCTCTGGTCACGATGCTTTTATCAACCAGTCAGTACATAACCTAGCTTTATGTGTGTTCCTTTTTAAAGACACCTCATTTAATATCTACTGTTGATTCATTAACACCGAACTCACCGCCAGCCATACTGTAACTCCTGCTGGAGTGAGCCTCCTCTAACACACAGATTATCTCTGCAAGGCATGTTATAGCCTTCTCGTGCTTGGGAACACCAGGCAGTGTGCTGTGCTTGTGGAACATTTTAGACAAGGAAATCACCACCGAATAGTACAAAAGTGCTGCAAACGTGACACTCAATAGACTGCAGAAAGGACACTTGCTGAGGGTCTGAGAGTTCCAACGAGAAGGCAGGCATTGCTGTGATTGACTTCAGCCGGGGGGGTATGTGCATTGGGTGACTCACATTTCTGGCTGCTCTGCACATGTTCATGAATGACTTGAGCATCGTCTTTGGGGTTACAAATACATTTTGGTAGGTGCATTGCCTGCTATGGAGTCTGCAGATCATGAGGCTTGATTGATTTCTTTTTTTTCCTTTTTTTTGAGTTCAAGTCTTACTCTGTTGCTCAGGCTGGAGTGCAGTGTCATGCTCATGGCCACCACAGCCTCCACCTGCTGGACTCAGGTGATCCTTCTGCCTCAGCCTGCTGGAATTATAGGCACGCGCCACTATGTGTGGCTAATTTGTTTTTTAAATTGTAGAGATGAGGTCTTGCCAAGTTGCCTGGTCTGGTCTCGAACCCATGGGCTCAGGCAGTCCTCTCACCTTCACCTCCCAAAGTGCTGAGATTATAGGCATGAACCACTGTGGCAGGCCGGCTTGACTGACTTCAAATGGCTGCCTCTGTCTTTTTCACAGAGGTGCCTGAATCAGCTTACCACCTACTGGTTTTGGGAAAGGGAGGGTGTGCATTTCTGGTAGCCAAACCTAACTCCCCCTATCTGCTCTTTCCTAGTGTGGAAACTAGATCTCCAGGCCAAGGAAGTCCCCTGAGCAGCCTGCTTCCTTCTGCCTCAGTGCCAGAGTCGATGACCATCAGTAAGTACCTTTGGAACCACCCCCACCAGCTCTGGGATGACCTCTGGGTGTCTTGATGGTGACTTTGTGCATCTCCTGTGTGACCCTGGGAGGAAGTAGGTGTGTATGTACTTGGTTGTGGACTTGGGGCATGGTGCGTGGTTGTAGGCTTTTGGAACCGTGGTTTGTGCCTGTTACTTGGGTGTCTGTGTGCTCTGAAGGGTGTGCTTCAGAGTATAGCAGCTTTGTGATAGATGTCTGGAGTCCACAGTTTTGAGCTTGCCTCCTGTGAGGGGTCGGTGGCAGACGCTCTGTTCTCGTTGGGTTTCCTTCATCACTCTAGAGGAGCCATTTTTGTGAGTAAGGAAGCGTGTGTCTCTCCAGTGATGAAACATTGCTAGTGATCAGTTTTCAACTGTTTCCTGCTTCACTCCCCAGGAAAAGTGTTAGAGATATGGCAGTTAAGAGTAGTTTGAAGCTGGATCTGGTGGCTCATGCCTGTAATCCCAGCACTTTGGGAGGTGGAGGAGAGAGAATTGCCTGAACCCAGGGGTTCAAGATCAGCCCAGGCAACTTGATGAGACCATGTTTCTACAATAAATCAAAAAGATTAGCCTGGGCATGGTGGCGTGTGCCTGTAGTTCCAGTTACTTGGAAGGTTGAGGTGGAAGGATCATCTGAGCCCAGAAGATCAAGGCTGCAGTAGCCATGAGCATGCCACTGTACTCCAACCTGGGTGACAATGAGACTCCTACTCAAAAAAAAAAAAAAAAAAGAAAAGAAAAACAAAGTAGTTTGAATGGTTTTATGTAACAAAGAGGAAACCAGCTGTGGTTAATGAGATAGAAATTTACCTGTGTCCAGAGGTAGGCAGGCTGAGGCCAGCATGTGGTTCCGTGGTCATCAGGGGCCAGGACTCCTTCTGTCTTTTCTCATAGGCCAAATCAGCTGTTTTAGTTCCAGCCATTTCATTCTCATCCCAGGTGGTAGAAAAGGGAAGAGGGCAATAGAGAGATTTCCTCCATTACCACTCGTGGGATTCAGGGGTCATACTTGGATAGGGAACATTTGCAATGTTCTTCATGTAGCTCTGGCTGAAATTTAGTCATGTAACTCTGCCTGAAATTTGATTGTGATTATTCTATTTCAATGTAATTGGTTTATTTGTAATACTGTGTGTTTTATATATTTTATTTTATTTTAATTTTTTGAGTTGGGGGTCTCACTCTTGCTCAGGCTGTAGTGTAGTGGCACGATCATGACGATTACGGCTCACGGCAGCCTCAACCTCCTGGGCTCAGGCAATCCCTCCACTTCAGCCTCTTGGGTATCTGGGACTACAGGCGTCACCATACCCGGCTAATTTTTTGATTTTTTTTGTAGAGACAAGGTCTCGCTGTGTTGCCCAGGCTGGTCTTGAACCCCTGGGCTCAGGCAATCCTCTCCCCTCTGCCTCCCAAAGTGTTGGGATTACAGACATGAGCCATCACCCCCAACTTGTGTTTTATTTTTATGATGCATTTCCAGAGAAGTGAATGCCTTTATTTATTTGTCTATTTATTTGAGTCAAAGTCTCACTCTATCACCCAGGTTGGAGTGCAGTGACATGTTCACGGCCTCTGCAGCCTCAACCTGCTGGACTTGGGCGATCCTTTCGCCTTAGCCTTTGAAGTAGCTGGAACTACAGGCATGTGCCACCATGCCCAGCTAATTTTTGATTTATTGTAGAGATGAGGTCTTGCCAAGTTGCCCAGGCTGGTCTTGAACCCATGGGCTCAGGCACTCCTCTTGTCTCTACTTCCCTAAGTATTGGGATTATATATTGTTATTTTATTTTTTTATTTTTTGAGTCGGGGTCTCACTTTTGCTTAGGCTGTAGTATAGTAGCATGATTGTGACATGAGCCACCATGCCTGGCTGAATGCCTTTAATTTAAAAAGCAAACTTTATCTCATTGCTGTCAGTAGAGAGCCACTGTTAGTGGATGGGCCAAGCAGGTAGCTGTACAGTGCACATGGTGAGAGGAAACAGTTGATACCAAGTCTGCCTGGTTGTTTACTGTCCCAGGTCCTGCTCAAGACCCACTCCCATTGTTAACAAGAGAGACTGTGCACCTCTTTTTGGCTCAGGTCGTGGCACCGGCAGGGTGGGCAAGTGTTTCGGTTTTTGGACTGCCATGAAGCTCTGTGGCCACCTGCGGGACCAGAAGTAGTGTGATGAGCAGTGCAGAGATGTAAATTGGGGCTCAGGCCTGAAGGCTAACCCTCTGGAGAAGCTTCATGTACAAAAGGAATTGTTCTAGAGGAAGCAGGGGCTGAAACCAAGCAGCCAACGTGAGCCACCAGAAGCAGGTCTGGATCCAGCTGACCGCCAAACCCCAGCCTTCATGCTGCTGATGGGCGCCCACGGTCTACTGAGGAAAATGATGCGGGTGGGCTGCTGGATCTGACTGCCAAGTCCTGCTGTTGATGACATTCCTAGAGTTTGTTTAGGGTTGTCCAAGTTGCCATTGTCTCTCTTTTGACCCTATGCATGTGCAAGAAGGAGGGTCTGACATGATGCATTTTGGTTGTGAGAACGCAGTAGGATTAAATGTTCATAGGACAAAGGAAAGTAGAGATGAGTGAGTAAGCGAGCACTAAAAGGTGTTGAAGATGCCTCAGTACTATTAAGCCTAAAGTGATGAAGAGGATTGTGGAAGGGAAGAGAAACCTCCTTCTATGACTTGCTGTGATTTCATGCCTCGTCTTTCTAGCACCTCCAATTCTGTTTCTGTGAGTGGCACCTTGGTGCAGATGGATGAGACTTTACCTTAGCTCTGAGGTGTCGCTACTCTAAAGGATACTGTTATTTTGCCAGATGAGCATTTTTTGGTTCAAGGACAGTGGCCCCTGAGATTGCAGAGTACCAGGACTTGTAGGCACCTCCTCCAGGCACCGCGTGTATGTGAGGCTTCGGGCATCCGTGTGCCCTGGTATGTGTGGGGCCGCAAGCACCCATGTGCCCTGGTGGTGTCTGACATTCTGCTTCCTAAGAGTCCTACTCCCGGGATGAGGTCCCTGCATCTTAGGTAAACAGATTCCCTGTAGATCATGGTCTCTGAGTGTCCCTCAGCCATTTTCTGTCTTTGAGAAAGCTGCTGGCCCTACTTGTGCGTGACATTCCTGTGAACAGGCTCATGTGATGCCCATGGTGGGAGTTTAAATGGACTTTCTTGTTTTCATTCATACAGTTTCCTAGAAGTTAAAATCTTTTATAATTCTTGTCTTTGTTGGGATATGTTTGGGACATACCCACAGTTTATGACTTGAATCTCGGAAGAAATAGGTCTGCATTTGACCCCCGATACTTGGTGGTGATGTGGCCTGTGGTTAGGGATAATTGTGCGTGGGTTACTGGGTGGGCTTCTGTTTCCTGCGGGGTTGTCCATTTGGGGAGTCTTTGGGGACAGCACTGTGTTCATAGGATGAGGGGTCAGGGGTCTTGGAAAGTTCAAGTGGAGGGTGGTTTTGACTTGGGTCTACCCATCCCACCATCATCTCCTGTGAGAGAAATAAGGAAAGGCATTTGTCCGGGTATCCAGGTGTGTTAGTCTGCCCGGGCTGCCATAACAAAGGACCATAGACCTGGAGGCTTCAACGAGTTTGTTTTCTACATTTCTGGAGCCTGAAATGCCACGACCAAGGTGCTAGCAGGGTTGGCTCCTGGTGGGGTCTTTGTCTTTGACTTGTGGACGACTGCCTTCTCACTGTGGCCTCACATGGCCTTTCCTCTTTGCACGTGATTCTGGTGTCCCTCCCTCTCTTCTTACAGGGACACCAGCCTTGTGGGATCAGGGCTCCACTCCATGACCTCATTTAGCCTTAATGACTCCATGACCTCATTTAGCCTTAATGAAAGCAGGCCTTGTTTTCAGGTATACCACACTGGGGGTTAGGGCTTCAAAGTAGGAATTTTGGGGGATGCAATTCAGTCCCTAATGCAGGGTGTCCCAGGAGTGGATGTCCCGGAATAGATGTCCCAGGAGGGGTGTCCTGAGAGTGGGTGTCCTGGGAGTGATCCAAGTTCAGATGAATAATCCCATCCTGTCATGTGCAGCCCTGGGATTCTACTTAAGAGCAGCTGCTCAGCTCCTGCAAACCCCAGAGGCACAGGCAAGGGGGCTCAACTCTTTGCTCCCCAAAGTAGTAAATGCCTGGCTTCCATCCCAAGTGGCTTCTATGGCTTCACTTAGATGCCAGGGACAGATAGCTGCTCTGTACTGTCATGAGCTAGAGCACTGGCTTATTGAATTACAGGTGTGAGCCACTGTGCCCTGGTGTTTTTTTAAAACTTAATTTGTGTCAGCCATGTTCCAATACAATTTTGGGCTAAATAGTCTGGGAGTCTCAGATGGTGCAACTGAGAGATGGCCAAGCGGGAAGCTGTGTGCACTGTCGTGTGACAAGGTGACACAGATATGGAGTGGCTGCGTCTTCTTGGAATCATGCACGTCTCTGCTTCTGACTTTCTGTGCTTGAGTGCTGTGGTTGGCAGGCTTTATAACAAGTAGGGTAAGTAGGGCTTGAGATCGACAGAGCGATGTGCTTCCTGGGGCTGGCATAAGAGGTCCTGGTGGTGAGTGATCATGCTTCTCAGGTGGGTGGTGGCCTGCAGTACACTGGACACTGCTCTGAAGTTTTCCCTGGCTTCTTAGTAACTCATAAGGTGCAGGCATCACTGGCCCATTGTATGGATGGGAAAATCACTGAGGCAGAGCTAAATGCAGTGCTCAAAGTCATGCAGCAAGACTTCTGGGGCTGTGGCTTCAGCATCCAGCTCTTTCCTCTCTCCCTCTCTGTCCTGCCTGTATGGTCAGGAACAGCAGTGTTTTGCCTTTGGTCGGCTGCCCAGCAACCTGATCACTGCTGGTCATGGAGGAGAAACTGTTGGGAGCGGACTCTGATGGCCGGTCCCAGTGTTGCGGGGACCATGGTCCACTGGGGGATGTGAGCATTGCCCTGTCTTGCTCTGACTTGCTC